CAGGGGTGAGAGGGCATATCCTCCTGGCTTCGTCGCTGGTCTTAGGGAGAAAGCATTTAGTCTTTCTCCTTTAAGCGAGGATGGACGGTGTAGGTATTTTTGCAGATGGCCTTTATCAGGTTTGAGAAACCATTCGCCTGCTTCTGGTTTGCTCAAGGTTCTTATCATGAACGGCTTGGCTGTGGGGAAAAGGATCCAAATGTTCCCCAAGGCGACCCTTGAGTTGGCCAAAAATGTTAAAAGTTTGACTTGCTCTCTCCAAGTGGGAGGAAAAAACTGGGCTGGAGAAAGTTTAGCCGAACTATAGGCGGAGGAGAGGGGAAAGCGCTCCAGCCTTTTCTTCAGCTTGGCTGCTGTTACTACAGCACCTCCTGACATTGCAGCCAGCATCTCCCCTGGCCTCTGTGTGGTAACCTGGTAAGTGTCAGTTTACTGCTGGGGGTGTGGATCAACTTCAGTGATGGGTGGGAATTTTTTAAATGGCTTCGTACGTTGTGGCTGTGGCATCCGAATGCATGAGAAAATTGAAGTGAGGTGTTATTAGGCAGTGTGACCCTTCAGTGCAGGTGCCCCCAGCCACGAATCAGTCTTTTCCAGCCTACCCAGTGGTAAGCAAGAGAGACCTCGGGGCAGGATGTAATGTAAACCCATTTAAAAAAATTTCTTAAAATTCAGGATTTTGTCCTGACCAGTTCCTAAACATGATGAATGTTTTGTAGTGAAGTTACAGAACATGTGTTCTATAAAAATAATTTCGTCCCTCTTGCATACAAGCCTTCCACACAAAAGGTTTGGAAGAAAGTAGGGAGGAATTAATGAAATGTGAAGTTTTGATTTCAGGATTGAATATGCTGATTTTGTAACAGTGGAGAAAACACAAACCTGGCCTTGGGGAGAGTCGGAGGGCAAGAGTGAGGACGTTAATGACCTCTGTGTGTCCAGATTGTTCTTGAAAACTTTGTATTTTTCCTAAAGAAATACTCCCACGCAGCCTTTCCAAGCTGCTGTGAGCACTTTGAATTCAACTGACAGCTGAGCCGACAGTCACACCTGCCAGAGCTCTGGCTGTGGAACGGCAGGTGGGGCCACAGCTCCTAGACTTGGCAGGCAGAGCACCTCCACATGTCGCCCACCCTCGGAAAGAGGGTGAGCTGGTGTCGTGGGCAGATAAAACTGTTTGGAACTGACTGCCTCCAGGCAGTCCCTCCGAAACCATGGGCTCATATGGGTATTGGAACTGGACAGAGAGTGCTGGACCTGGACAGGAAGGTTCCATGGTGGGAGGCCAGCCTGGGCCCTGGTAAGCTATACTGCCTGCCTGGTGCATGTCCTGCTCCAGGCACCCTAACGTGTATAAACTCTGTTTCAGCAGTACCACGTGTGCCCCCTGGGAGTGCACTTCCTGGGTTTGTGCTCAGACTATGCAGACACCACCTCACCAGGAAGGCTTTCGAGTCAGCTTCTGCTTCCCAACCCGAGTATGCCGTGCCTGAATCTGTACCTCAGGGCAACCAAAAAGGGCTCATACAAAAAATTAAGCAGTAAGGTACCTGGCTTTCTAAGGTAGACCTGCATGGTTAATGAGTAGCTTATGGTATAATGTTAAAGAAACAAAAGAACAAATACAATATTATAAAGACATTGCCTCCCCCTCCTCCAATCTCGTAACCTAAAACAACACATAGGAAAAAAGCCTGGAAGGGAATATATCATGTATTAAGTTGCTTTTCATAAGTGTGAAGGTCTAGATAATTTTCAAATGATATTTTATTTACAGCTTTATTTGCTGTGTCTTATTAGACCACCAGATATCCATTATAATTTTTTTAATAGTTTTGTTGAAGACTCAGTCTCTATCCTGACAATTCAGGATAGAAAATTTTGACATTTGTGCCAGGTGCAAAACCAAGCAGTGCATTTGAAGCAGAAGGAAGATGTGCGGTGCAGTAGACAGGAGCAGTGGGAGAGCAGAGAGGTCCAGATGGGGAGGGTTGGCGGTATCTGCAAGCACTGTGAAAAATGCCACAGGCGATGCAGCCAAAGCAAAAGCCAGTAACACTCGCATGTCCCTAAGGAGTGACTCATGCTATTGAGGTGCGCAGCTGCGTGAAGACCCTTAGACCTTTGCTCCCTTTGGTCCCCTCGCACAGCGGGGCAACGTGTGGTTCAGAGAGCACAGCACTGCTCTGCTCTGCGTGCCGCGCCGCCTGTGAGAGTCGTGGCCTCCCCTGCGGCACCACTCCTTTTGCTGGCCACCTAGAGCACTTTTCTTGAAGACTGAAAGCCTACAGACCCGGAAGGGAAAAGAAAGGAAACACATGGTACAGTTGTTAGATTCAATCCTCCCCCAGTAAATGCACACGTGGAAAGTGAGATGCATGTTCAGGAGTCGTAGGGGCAAGCACGGGCCTCATCGGGAATTAGCAGGGTAGGATTGGGTGGCTCAGAAGAAACGCAGAATGCAATGGTGAGAAAACATTATCAGCTGCAAGTCTGTTTCCTGGCCTTGCTTTTGTAAGAGAATACAGTGGGGGGAGGGCCCTTTGACCGCTACCTCCCCATTCCCCCTCTTCCCAGTCCCTGGCAACCAACAGCCCACACTCTGCTTCTGTAAGTTTGACTAGTTTTGAGTCGGCTTGTAAGGGTTATACCCACTCCATTATTGTGGGGGGAGGGCCTGAGATCTGGGAGGGAATCACTGCACTTGGTTATGAGCCTTATGAGAACCTGACATCAGTAGTAACCAGGGTGCGCCGTGCACCAAGGTGCACCAAGTTCTGAGCCCTGCTCAGAGTAGCGCTGTGGCACCTTAGATCTGGGTATGTGTGGTGGGAACTGTGTGTGTGTGTGTGTGTGTGTGTAACCAATGCAGGGAGAGAGAGAAACAGTATTAACAGTGACTCACCGAAGTCCAGCTGTGGTCTAGGCTCTGTGCTAGGTGCCGGGGGTACAGTAAGAAAGACACACCCCTCCCTGCCCTCATGGAGCTTCTGTCAAGTTATGCCACAGTAGTGAATCTAACGTCCATACAAAAAAATGTAAAAATTCCTGCTGTGATTGGTGGTACCAAAGAGGTACACTCCAGTGCTTCGGAGAAAATGACCTTAGCTGGCTCTTCAAGGAATCTTCCCTGAAGAGACATTGCGTGAGCCGAAATGTGCAGGATGAACAGAAGTTAACTAATCAGGAGCCTTCAGGAAAGGGGGACAATATAAGCAAGAAGCGCAGGCAGTTGGAGCCAAAGGAAGCCAATAAGAGACACTGGAAGAGGAAGCTCTGCTTTTCATATTGCTAGAGGTAGGCAGGGGCTCGAGCAGGCTCTGAAGTCCTTGTGGGGAAATGTGGTCCTTATCTAGAAAGTACCGGACAGCCTTGCAACTGTAAGAGAGACGGAGACAGACACCCTGAGTGGATGTGATGGACCAGTTACAAGGCAGCCTTCACAATCAAAAGGAGAGAGGCATTGGCCTAGAGCAGATGTAGTGGACACAGAAAGATGTGGAAGCATAAACGGATATAAATTTTCCTTAAAAATTCCTTTTCCTTTTAAAAAAAGTCAGAGGTACTGAGATGTAATTTACATACAACAAAAGTCAACCTTTTAAAGTATGCAGTTTGTAGGCTCTTGACAGACGTATGCAGTTGTGTAACCATTTTCCAGAATGCCTTGTACATGAAACCCAAAACATGTAGCCTTTTGTGGCTGGCTTCTTTACTTTGACATACTGAGATGCACACATGCTGTTTCATGAATCAACAGTTTGTTTTTATTACTGTGCAGTGCTCCTTTGTATGGGTGTACCTGTTTGTTTTTCTTCCATCCATACACCAGTTGTTGAGTATTTGGGTGGTCTCTAGATTTGGCTACTATGAATTAAAGTGCTATGAATGTTTGAGTACAGACAGGTCTTTGTGTGGACACGTTTTCATTTCTCTTGGTTAGAATTTCCTAGGAGTAGAATTGGTGGGTTATATGGTAAACGTATGTTTAACATCAAAAGTAAGTGCCTGAGATTAGGATACCCACTCCAGCTTTCTTGTGGTTTCTGGTCTTATATCTTCTCCCCTACTTTTACTCTCAGTTTATTTGTGTTTTTGAGTCTGAACTGTGTCTCATGTAAACAACATATAGTTGGATCCTGTTTTTGTTTTTTTTTCATCCAGTCAGTGTCTGCCCTTTGATTGGACTGTTTATTCACATTTAACATTGTTATTGATATAGTTGGACTTACATGTGCAATTATACATTTTTTTCCCTATGTGTCTTATTTCTTGGTCTTTGGTACCTACTGCCTTTACTGCTTTCTTTTGCAGAAAGTGGGTATTTCCTGAAGTGGCATTTTAATTTCTTTAGTGCTTTTTCTCAATATATTTTTTGAGTTATTTCATCAGTAGCTGCTCTGGGGTTTACCATACACATCTTAATTTATCACGGTCAGCTTCAGATTTGTACTAATTCCAGTGAGATATAGAAACATTGCTCCTATGTAGCTCTATTCACACTTCTCTCTTTGTGCGGTATTGTTATATTACATCTATAAAGGGTACATCCCATTCATACAGTCTTATCATCATCAAAAAGTATATGTAATTCTGTGACTTTTAAGAAAAGCTAACGTTAGACAGGAGGATCTCAAGTATCTACTTACAGCTTCTGTTATATTAACCTTCTGTGTCACAATTTCTGATTCTTTTCATTTGTTCTGGTGGAAATGCTTTACCATCCAGACTCATCTCCTTACCTATTATATATAGCTTTGTGCCCAACCACCACCTCTGTATTGTGATGGGCAAATATATTACATTGTATGTGTGTCTTGCCAGTGGGTTTCAGCCCCTGGCAAGTTCACTATGGATTCAGTGTGACCAAAGAAATGACAGTAGAACGTTCTTGGAGTGAAAGGGTTATACCCAACTTTATTTCCACGGTGGCAGGTCAATCACTAAAATTTCGTTCACTCAGAGCGAGTCTGCATGCAGCAAGCTGGTCTCTGCCTCTGGGCCTCTCTGTCTGCACCTCTGGGCCTCTGTCCTCGGCACTGCCACCACTGCAGCCTCTGTTCTGCTCTCCTGCAGCCTTGCTGCCGTGCTACCGTGTCACGCAGAGCAATGGGTGGAGCTCTTTATATAGAGTTAATAGCAGTGTACTGCCCACACGGTGTGTAGTGAGCTAGCCAACCAGGGCCAGGTGAAAATCCTGGCCACAGGAACTTAAATTTTATCCACAATATGTTACTGGTCAAATAAAAATTTACACAATATTGTTTTACACAGTTGCTTTTTAAATTAGTTATGAGAAGAAAGGAGTAAAGAATGTGTATTTATAAAGTCTTTTATACTCACATAATTACCTTTACCTGTGCTCTTTGTTGTTTCACGTGGATTTGAATTAACCATCTGGGGTAACTTGCAGCCTGAAGAACTTGCTTTAGTTTTCTTGTAAGCCAGTTGTGCTAGAAACAAATTCTCTTAGTTTGTGTTTGTCTGGGAATGTCTTTATTTTGCTTTCATTTATTTATATGTTCTTAAATCACTTTATTGAGATATGCTTGATATGTAAAAAGCTGTACACAGTTAATGTATACAACTCAACGAATTTGGGAATCAGTACACCCATCCTTGAAACCATCACCACCATCTAGGACACAGGCGTATCCATCACCTCCCGAACTTTCCCCCAACTCCCTTTTTATTGTTGTTGTTGTTGTTCTTCTTCTTATTATTATTATTATTTTTAGCAGTAAAAACCTTGACATAAGATTTAGCTTTGTAGCAAATTTTAAGTACACAGTATTGTTAGCTATGGGCACTATATCCTGTACAGCAAGCTCCAGAACTTGTTGTGTAACTATGACTCTGTGCCCTTTGACCGTTACCTCCCCATTCCCCCTCTTCCCAGTCCCGGCAACCAACATCCCACACTCTGCTTCTATAAGTTTGACTAGTTTTGAGTCAGCTTGTAAGTGAAATCATGCAGTATTTGGCTTTCTGTGTCCGGCTTTTTTCACTTAACATAATGTTCTCTAGGTACAGAGGGCATGCTCTTACACATAGAAGGCCCTAAAGACTCCACCAAAAAACTGAGAGCGCTAAGAAACAAATTCAGTAACATTGCTTTCATTTTTTTACAGATAGTTTGCTGGATGTAGGATTCTTGGTTGCCAGTGTTTTCCTTTGAGCACCTTGAATATATTATCCCTATGCCTTCTGCCTCCACTGTTTCTGCTGAGAAGTCTGCTGCTGATCTGACTGGGTTTTTCTGTCATAAAATAGGAGGGTTTTTTTTCTTGTTGCTTTCAAGATTGTCTCCTTGCCTTTGCTTTTCAGCATTTTTACTCTGATGTGTCTGTCAGTCGGTCTCTTTTTGTTTATCGTACTTGTACTTCGTTGAGCTTCCATCGGGCAATATTTCTTGGCACATTATTCTCTGCTCCTTTCTCCCTTTCTGGTATTCTCAATCCATCTATGTTGGTAGCCTAAGCATGTCCTGTATTTCTCTGAGGCTCTGTTTATTTTCCTTAGCATTTTCCTCTCTGACTTCAGATCGCACAGTCATTATGAGTCTGTCTTCAAGATTGCTCAGTCTTTTTCTGGTAGTTCTTATCTACGTTGAGCCCTTCTAAGTGAATTTTTCACTTCAACTATTGTACTTTTCAACTCTAGAATTTCCATTCTGTTCTTTTGTATAGTTTCTACCTCTTTATTGTCATTCTCTATTTCATGTAATATTTTCAGTTCAGTAACTTCCTTTACCTCTTTGATGGCAGTTTCCTTTAGTTCTTTAAAGTTCTTTGTGTGGCAGTTTTGAGGTCTTTTTCTTGCAAATCTGACATCTGGTAGCAATCACAGGCAGTTTCTGCTGCCTGCTTTTTCCCCAGTGTACTCTAGGTAGATCATACGCTCCTGTTTCTTTCCATGTGTCATAACTTTTGTTGTTGCTGGAAACTAGACTATCTAAAATAGACCATGTGGCAACTCTGGATGCTGGTCCACCCCTACCTTCCTGATTTGTTACTGTTTTTTGCCTGTTTATTTGTTTAGTGTCTGGCCGGTTTATTTTAGTGAGCGTAGCCTCTCTCCCTACTCCCCCCTCCCCTGCTGTGTTAAGCTTTGGGTTTTCCCCCTCAGGGAGAGCTGTCTTGAGTATGCCTGTGGTCACCCTGGGATGACTGTGGTTTGGGCAGGGCTCTCTTTGACTTTCTCCTTCCCTGACCACACTCAGCTGTTCAGCTCCACTGACTGTGGGCTGATTACTCCCTAGTTTTCAGCAATGTCCTGGATAAATTGCTCCATAATTTAAACCAGTGAAATCCGTGCTCCTTTGAAGGGATAGCTGTTCAGGCCAGTGTTTGAGATTTGATCTGACCCTGGTGGGCTCCTTCCAGTAATCTCCCTCCCTGGCATCCCAGGTAATCCAGCCAGCCCACAGTTGAACTCCTGTTGATCCCGCGGTTCTTGTTCATGAAGCTGAAGAATGAGCTTCATAAACACCCAAGGTAGGAGAGCAAAGTACAGGCTTTCTTTTGAAATAAAGTGAGAGAATAGAGCTCCTGGCTCACGCCAGGAGGGCACAAGGGAGCCCGTTGTGGTGCGTTGTCTAGAGGGTTTTATAGGCAGTTGAGGAGTTTTTGAGAACATGAAGAAAACTTAGGGGTGTGGACTTGCATCACCTGCCCTGTCCTCAAGGTGGGCTGGGTCAAAGTCTGATTGTTAGGGCTGACAGTGGAGTCACGGGTTATGCTGATACCCTTGCAGAACACTCAAACATTCCAGGCCAAGTTGCTTCTGGCCTTTTGACCTTTAGTTGATCTCACTGAAGATGTCTATATTCTTAGGTATCTTTCCCGAGAGAAATAGTGTGACTTTGACTTTGCATAATGCTTAACAGAGTTTCAGTGGGGACTTCTTTGCCCATTGTTATATTGCTCTCACTGTAAATATTCCACCCTGCTTTTCCCGGAGGCCCTCACCCTACTCTGACTACACCCATGGTCCCTGTCT